CGCGGTCACATAAACTTTAGTAGGAGGGATAAGGGCAATTGTCAAATAGGGCGTGGTTAGCTGTTAGCTCGATTAATTTCATGGAAACTCATTCAGTAAAGAAAATAAAGTTGGAAGGTAAATGTCGGGCTTTACTTTCCTGTATCCTTCAACTAATTCCCCCAACCCTCCAAAAAAAAATCATAACTGAATTCACGTAGACTCCAATTTGCGCCTAACTGCTAATAAGTCCAGTGCTCTTCTGTATGAGCAACTCGAGAGAGAAAGTAATTTTGTTGTATTTTATACTTGTAAAACTTCGTCCATGCCATTTATGATAATTGCCCCCAACCTTCCTATGAAAAATACGCATGTGCACACATGCAGATACGCACGTTTTATAATAATTACCTCTAACCCACCTCCTAGACACCACATGGCCACCATTTGTATTTGGGCCAAGACCAAAACAGACTGATTCGTCAGAAGCACATTCATTGATACATTAAAGATGCGCGAGCCGCGCACGTAAGTGCGTAGCCGTGATCAGCGTGCATGCCTCCCTTTTTAATAACATTGATGTTTCTCAAACTGGGGAAATGTTGTGTAACACTGTTCCTAGAGCTCTCTGTTTGATAAAGCACACATTCCATGAGTTTAGGCACCCATTAATCTGTGTTTTGAAGGATTTCAATGTACAGGTAAGTTGAGGGGGTTGTGGGTTGAGGGGGGTCGTGGGTCGTATACTCCAATAATTACAAATGATTGACAGTACCACATTAAAAAATTGTGATGTGTAACTGCAGCCCAGTCGATATACAGTTCATTTTCAAAGCTTTGTTTCTCTCACTACCCTTGATAACATAGGCCATTTTTGTTTCTTCTCAGCTTTAGTCAGGCAGAAGAAGAAAGGATGCCAACAATTACCACTGTTGCCATAGCAACACATCCTTCACCCTCAGTTCATCATGATGCAAGATTCTGGAGAGCAGGAGATCTCCTTCAAGCAGGACTCAGATCAGGATTTATTGCTTGGGTCAACCCCACTGGAGGATGGCATTAATCCTGGGAATGGGGCATATATCTCATTGCAAAGTTCAGGTGGGCCTTTGAGCACTTATGTTTGCTCTTGTCATGGCTATATCCAAGGGCAGATCCTTGAGACAAAGGGGGTCAATGGGGGGCCATGCACCCCAAAATTGGCCTATTTTAGAGGATGTAAAATGCAGCCTCATTCCTCAGAAAGGCCATAAGTGGGTTACGTAAAAAATATTCCAAATATTTTGGACCCCAGCCCCAAAAACAAGTTTGGCCCTCCCCACAAAAAAAATTGGGTTCAGGATCTGCCCTTGGGTACAGCCTACCTACCGTACATGTACAAGCACTCCTGCAGTTTGTCAGGTTATTGACCTCCCGTCACTGGATAGCATGTAAACAAGTAGAAATTTTCTGTGTGGCTGCGGCAATGTCTGTATGCAGTAGTGGATGACCTCTGCATGTAAATTTGTCCCTACCCTTGAGTGATTTCCCAATGTGTTTGTTAACACGTAGAGACTCTTAACCACAGGTGCATAACAGTTCAGGTGTTGGACCCCTTTAGGGTCCACGTGGTACGGCTGGGGGTTGCACTCCGCGACATTGTCTCAGAGTGTAAAAAGCTACAGTGCAGTATAAAGTACTGACGTGAATATGTCATGCATACATGTACAATTATGTGTAGAATAGGCATTGGCATGAGAACCAACATGCACGTGTGCTTCATTCATTTGCACTACACTTCCTGGTTCAAATGATGTCACAGAAGTGTTGCACAAAGCATGAGCAAATGACCACTGAGTTTCAGCAATAACTCCAAAAAGGACCCTGGTTGTGGAACTGTATCTTGTAATTTTAAAAGTCAGTATTTTGGGCAGAAAATAATAAGTTTCCTGGGACAGGTTCATTGTGGAATAAATACCTTCCCCAAGTTGTCAATCCAGTCTGTACCAAAGTTACAGGCAATCACTTGTAGCTCAGTCACAAAGGATAAATAACACGATGATATCAAACATGTTTAAAGAATGAACATTTCATGCATCTTTTCTTCAAATGAAGGTGCTTCCAAGGTAGACCACAAGACCTACGCAAGGCGGTGGTACATCCTAGCTGTATTTGCCCTCCTGAATCTGGTCCAGTGTGTCGGCTGGAACACGTGGGGGCCAATAGCCGATACAAGTGAGTCCACAGACATGACAGATCGTCTTGTTTTACCAGAGAAGGCAGTATCGTGTCAAAAGTTATGATGCACACCAACCTGTAATCAGCAGTGTCACTGAGACTTTGGCTTCTCACCACGACTGTCTTCATCTGAACATTTCAATGTATGTCTCATTTAATGCTTCTGGAACGTCAGTTCCTTGTAGAGTTTTCCCTTCAAAACATGTGTTTTCATTGTGATTGCTTACCCACTTTTTGAATTTGCATGAGGTTTTAATACCTCAATCCTCATGCTGCCTCTATGTAAAAATTGGATTCAACTTTTGTCCTCCAAAATACTCCATTTTTTTTAATACATGTGTTCCTTGGAGGGGTGACCACTGCCTAAATCCTGCACAGTTCTCTTGCATTTTCTTATGCTCTTATGTTATGACAGAACATGTTATATCTACATTTAGGAGCAGTGTTGGACTCGATTTTGAGTTCTGTCTGGGTCTTAATTTATGTATCTGAGTATGAACAACACAGTGTCTGGCCAAGTACCTTGACACGGTGTGTCCTTCAAAATCAGCTACACCATCTTTCAATGTGGCCCCAATCCTTTGAAATCCTCCATGTTATGCAAGGAGGCTTGAGGAAGGCTAAGGTCAGTGCATTTGACTAATCAGAAAATAGAACTGCAGTCTGTGAACTTGATTCTGAGAGAGTTTAACGGAATGAGCATGGGAAACGAAGCGGAAATCACATGTACCATAAATCTCTGGGCACATTGCCTTTGTCATTCCATTTTTTTTGGTTACGACGAGCCTTGAATGAGATTGACAGGTTTGCCTTCATGTTTATTCTGCTTTGTTTTCAGGCAAGTTGGTTCTCAACTGGACAGATGGTGACATTGCTCTGTTGACCAACTGGGGCCCGATAACCTACGTTATTTCTGGGCTGTTCTTTTCCTGGATTCTAGACACAAAAGGTGAATTGGTTAATTTCCTCCCTAGTGCCATCAACATTCAAAACAGCAATGTCATGTTCTTTAACGTGTGCTTTATCTTTCTGCTTGACATTGTACATTCTAAGGCAAACTATTGTATAACTTAATTTATCTTCTTCTCTGTAACCTTGGTATTAACATTAAACGTCTATATAATTAACTATATGTGTATGTGAGTATATGAGGCTAAGAGTAAAACTTCCCTGGTTTGCATTTGTGGAGAGGTCCCATCAACCACCTGTCTTGTCCAATTTTCATGTCTTTCCTCAAGTATTGTATTTATTCTCTGTAGGTTTAAGAGTCTCAGTTGTAATCTCTTCACTTCTGCTCTTCATTGGTCTCGGTGTCCGATGCTTTCCTGTGGGCATAACAAACACGAAATGGTGAGATCTGCTGTAGAGAAAACCATATATGAAAACCGTCTAATCAGCCAGAGTTGGGGAAAGTTTGTTTTAGAGCCTGTCTGAGGCGTAATGGCTCTTGTTTATGCCTGGTTTTGTTAGCATATATGAAGAAGAAACATCGCTAAATGGAGTAAGCGGAAGACTGAGGGTGTACACCGTTTGGGAAGAAAATAGTGGTTGAATGAGATTTTAACATTGCGTCTGCAGGACAGTAAATGTGGGTCAGATCTTGATAGGCTTCGCTAGCCCTGTCTTGAATGGTGCTCCGACCATCCTGTCCGCGGCTTGGTTTCCCCCACACCAACGGACGACGGCCACGGCGGTGCCCACGGCCTTCATCTACCTGGGCTTTGCGTGCTCCTTTCTGATTGGGCCGCAGATTGTGACTGACATTGTAACAGCCAATGGGACCAAGTAAGAGAAAGTAATTTCTTATTTTCCTATATTTGAAGTTACAAGTTCGTGTATGTACGTATTCTCAAATGGTCCATGATGTGAATCTCCACTCCTCTCCTCTTAAACGCAAGAAAACTGAAATCTGTTTTGGGAATAGTCTCAGTGGAAAAATACACGTGGGCATTAAAAAATTGCGTTCTCTGTGCCTGCAAAATCTGTCATTTTTATGTTTAAAAAGGAGACGCATTGTCATCTGAAGTTCATCTTGAAGTTGGAAAGGGACCAGCCTTAGAGGTTGCTGCTTTTGTCACAGCTTCTGTGAATACATGTAGACATGGACTCCTCATTACAGGCATTTCATCCTGACCTGTTGATTTTCTTCTGTTTACTCTGCATGCGTGTAATTACACACTGAAAGACACTCTACACCGTCTTTGAATTTACTTTGAATTTTATCCATTTTTTTCTGACTTTTCGTTATTTTCTTTTTAAAAAGTATGACGACAAACAAGAATGTCATCCTAAATTTTTCAGTGAGTGATTTTTTTCTCCATGATGTGTATCTGATGTTACTGGACATTTTCATATCCAGTTGATAATCTGTTTGCCATTAGTGTTGTCCCCAATAACGAGAGTGACCATTGGTATGACGTCGAGATGTCCATCACTCCAGAGGTCCGAAAACACCACTTCAACCAGATCATGCTTCTCATGTACATCGGTGAGTAGTACTAAGCAAACGTGTAAAAACTGAGTATTTGAAATGTTCCAAAGAGATAGCAGCATCTGACAATCTCATTCTTGGCAGAGTATTCCTTCACTAGCCTCTAGTTGTGAGTGATACGGAAACAGCGCTAAGCCGCTACTCACAATAAGCCTTTTACGAGTTAACTTTGACCCAAATTTGGTACACTGAGTTCTTTAAATTCACGTGAACATAACAACTTGAATTCTCCTTACTAAAACCACTGTTGCTATACCTCGGATTCAGGGCAAGCTTTTGCTTTGTTACATAAGAGATGCCTTGCAACAATACACTGTTGTCAATGGTTAAGAAGGGCACAAAGGAACCAGTCCGTTCTAGAGATGGTGGTCGCTATGCGAAAGCTTGCCCCGAATCAGGAGGTACAGCACCAGTGTCTTTAGTCTGGGGGGATTCAAATTGTTATGTTAATGTGCAGTCAGATAACTCAGTTCACTAGATTTTTAACTCGCAAATGGCTTATTTATTCATTGCTTATTTAAAAGTGCCCTTTACATACGCTGCCGTTAACTCTTGACTGTACAGTCATTTGCAAAAGTTTAAGACCACCTGGAATTTTATTGGTATTTCTGTCACTGGGCCTGCATTACATTGTCTCGTTGAACGATTACTTAACATGTTTTTACAGTTGTGCATAACATCAGTGCAGTGCTGTATACCCATTTGAATGAAATTGTTTGCAAAGGCAGGTCTTGAACGACATTTTATCTGTAAGGCAGCATAAAAAAGCCAGTCTCAGTAATCAGAAATAAAAGAGGGCATACTAAATATTAGACTGTTCACATTTCAAATCGTGGAAATGTAGTCCAATAGCTGTTTAACTAAGATGCTAAGGTTAAACATTTAAAATAGACATAAGTTGACCTGATTGATTGGTTAGGGTTTTGTATTTCTTCAGGTCAATGTACTTTGTGTGGGTGGTCTTTAACTTTTGCAAATGACTGTAATATGTCGCATTTACTTTTGTCTTTTGCTAGTAAGTTGCCCGTAATGGCTTAAATGCTCACTTTGGCAGAAAATACCTGCAGCTTGTGTTGTAAAGGGGGACAAGGTGCTTACATCATAAATTAGAATACAGGGCAGAAGGATTGATTCCAAGACCAAAAGTTTGCTATTGAAAGCACTGTGTCGCACATTAAGCCTGTCAACCCCAGTCATAATTTAAATCTCCAAAATAGTTGGATGATTCAATTACACATTCCAAGCATTAAGAATACATAGGAAGCCGAATTTTTCATGAGAAGAATTCCTCTAAACTAACATCTGTTTCTAAATTTTTGGCATTCTGAGTCTACTTGTGTTTTTTCTTTCTTTTCAGAGTGTGGCATAGGAGCCATCTTAGCATTCTGTACCCTGGTCTACTATCCGGCCAGACCACCCACCCCACCCAGTACTTCGGCCGCGACGTCCAGAGAGAGCTTCAAAAGAGGAGCTCTTAATTTGGCAAAGTAAGCCCCAGTGGTGAGACCAAGCACTGTGGTGTTATTCAAACCGATGTGAACTTTCTTTATGACATTATTTCGGATGGCTCGTATGAACCACTTTTCCCAGGATATGCTGCACTTGCACAAGGATGCTTTGCTCTTCAGCAGATGGCCGTCTGCTTTGGAGAATGGATGCCAGGGGTTCTATATGATGGTCCTGAAACAATTTCCAAATTAGCCGACTGAACTTAGGTGTCATCCATTTTGTCTCTGTTTGACGAGCATACAAGACACTTAGTCTTTACTCTGCCCCTCATACAAGAGAAGGATGCAGGTTGATTGACCTTCTAAGTTTCTGAAAGTGTACACATGCTATAAACCCTCCCTCCTAGTCCATTTTGGGTAAAGGAACAAAGAATGACTACTCTATACAGTTGTTGAGTGGTTAGGAAACCTGTAGGCCATGGGTTCATCAAGTCACTCTCCCTATCGCCCTCTTGAATGGCCTCAGGTTGCATCCCAGTACATTGTACATTGTGTTTGGCAGCATATTGTGGCCTATTTCTTATTTGGATTGGCAGAAATCCTCAGTTCTGGCTGATCAGCCTTGCCTATAGCATCAGCGTAGGTGTGTATGGATCGTGGAGTACGCAGCTTGATACGCTGTTTCAGCACACTGACAGTGTTGATCAGGTACGTAGAACAGGATCATGCTTATCGGATTAACTGTTTATTTCTCCATTTAGCAATGCATGTACATGTTGGTCGTTACAGATCAGGTGAAATTCTAAGCAGAATTTGTCGGAGAAAATGCTTTTGTGACCACATTTCTCAAATGAATATTAATACTATGTAACCCATTTTCCCTTGTCTAAATGTGCATTGGATGGAAAACTTCATTTAGTTACATGTATTGTTTGACTCTGTTTGACACCTTAGCTAATAAGGAACATTATGAGGGTGAATAATTGGCAGTATATTTGAACGACTTCCACTGGGTAAGTCTTGTTTTTGCACATACCTGTAGGACACAGTTGGATGGATTGGTTTCTATGCCAACATCGCTGGATGTCTCGGAGGCTTGTTCTTTGCAAGGTAAGAGTTAATGAACGATTTGTGAGGTATCAGCAGGTGGACCGTGGGATTATCCAATGGTGCACATATTTACATTTCAGTAAAGAATTTAGGCACATTCAGTCATTGAAAACATGAAGCAAAACTTTTCATGTTGTCTAGACATTTAAGCATCTAGTCTTCCCATAATTCATGCATCAGTCGGCATAGAACTTTATTGAAAACTTTAGAATTCAATAGAATGTATGGACTGGGATGTGGTAAGTATTTTGGTGTTTCTGTGGTTTTGAAATATTCCCAACAATCAAAAAACTACTTACTGCTCTGTTTCACCTCATAGATTAGGGCAAGACTTGTTTTTGTCTTTTCCATCAGTTTGAAAATCAATGAAAATGCAATAGTACATTCATTATTTCAATCCAAGCAGAAAGTCATTAAAATTGATTGTAATTATCAAAAATATTTTATTTTTTGCTAGGTTTGTTGATCGATTTAGCGGTTTCATGAAGCGTGTTCTACTCGCACTGGCGGTTTTGGCAACTGGCTCTAGTCTGTGGTGCTTGCTGCTGGCAATGAAATTTATTCCCTTTCACATAGGTAAATGTGCACTTGAAAAGATCGTTGTGAGGAATTTTTCCTCCATGGGCTTTTTGCTCAACTTTATACACCCCTTGTTCTCTTTGAATGAAACATGTTTTTGACATCCCTGATGGGTGAGATGTATTCAAAAGTGCCTGTCTTAAACAATCGAACATTGTCAGTGTTTTCCAGACAACTGAGGGAGTTGTTTCTGTGATATCAGTTAGGGAAAGTTCTGTCCATTTTTTAGGTTTTTCTTTTCAAATTGTGAACCACAAGTTGCTCATTGAAAGCACCTCTGAGAATTGGTTGCTAATTAGTTCATTGTCATGTGATTACGCAACAGTGGATCTTCAAAGAAAAGGAAATATAAGCTGGCAGAATATGAACATTTTTCTTTCTTTTTTGCATATATCAACGTTTATGTATCATCTGGTTCGTAAGTGACTTCGTCACAAAGGCAAACGCGCCACGATTTGCAGGATCTCTTTGGACAATCGCTGAAGGTGTACGTTAACTTCCGGTTCCATTGTTCCATGTAAACGGCGATCAATGCACGTAACCCTGTGTGCAGTGCACTTGTGCAGTGGGCGTAGTTTAAACTGAAGTGACGTCACACTTACGAACCGGATAGCAGTCCTCTCAGGATGACATCACAGTATTGCTCATGAATATGGACAAACTCATTAGCATAAAAGCCCAACATGTATTTTTAGCTGATGAAAAATGGAATTCAGATTTAATAAATCAGAGACGTATTTTCAGTGGATCATTTCGATTAACCTCATTTGTTTCATTCCATTTTCCTCTGCAGAATATCTCTACATTTCCTGCATCTCCCTGGGTTTCTTCATATCTGCGACTGTTCCCATCTACTACGAGATCACCGTGGAGGGGACGTACCCCATCGCGGAGGGCATAACGACAATGGCACTGACGCTGATGAATAACATTGTTGGCCTGTTGTTCCTCCTGCCTCCACTCATCCCAGGAATAGGTAGGATTGGAACAGCTCCATCACTTGCTCAGATGTCCCGCTCATTATCATCTTTTTTAGACTCGGGATAGGCAATGGGGCATCCAGCTAGGTTTCATACCCCCCCAAGCATGATAACATTTTCTGAGAGGGGTTGTTGTCAAATCAAAAGTGCTAATATGTTAGAAACAGTACTGCTACCTTCTTTTGCTGATGAAACATCATTTGACAATTTTTTTTGGGGGGGAAAAAGCATCCATTCCCCTAACGCAAAAGCTCGGAGATTAACAATAAATCAACCCAAAAAATCTGCGAGACAGAAAAATGTTAACAATTCCAGCAGTTTCCCTTAAATGACATTACTGTTTTTCTCATGATAATTGAAATTCACATCATCACAAAAAAAAAACAACTAGGCATCTAAATACTTTTCCAAATAGCCAAACAAATATTGAAACTGAAAGAAAAGCTCTCCCTGAAATGTAAAGATGCATTTTCCACTTTGCTGTTAGAAAAATTGCAAAGTCATGACGTGGTTTTATTGGTTTGGTTAGGCGTAGACTGGATGAGCTGGGTCGTGTTGGTAGCCGCAGCCACTCCTGTATTCATGCTATTGCTGTACCGAGAGCGCTACAACCGCTTGAAACAAGACGAAGAGGAAGAGTGCAGTGTGAATGCAGACGAGCAAGGTACTTAATCCACCACGGCTTCTTATTACCGATATGTTTGGACTTTGGAAGTTACGAAAACTGCTTTCGTGTCAACAGTATTATGATTAGTTTCAAGACCGCTGATCACCAGAAAGTATGCAAAAGCTAGTGTTTGGACTACGTTTTGTTCTTTGGACTGACTCTGTAAGAGTGCTGTGCAACACATAAGCTGGCAGTTGGAACCAATTTTGTGGCTTCTTGGGTGACGATCGTAATTTGCAGTATTGTGCGTCCTGGTGACGTGACCTCCCACATGCAGCGTTTGATGACTTGATGCTGTTTTGCCTTGTGGTGTGCCGGCAAGAAAAAAAACCTCAACAACGCATTGTCGATTAACCACGCAATTACATGTAACATGCGCGATTGGATCACTACTCTCTGTCACCTAAGCATATTGTCAGTCGGTAGTTATTGAGAATTCACATGCGCACGTAAGGCCAACATTCTTTGCTGATTGATTCACAAAATGCTTCCCAGAACTTTTTGCTGTAGTAAGTAGACGTTCTTTTTTTCTGAAGAGCACAACCATAAACTTGTTCCTGACCTCTTTTTTCATGTACATAGTATGCCTCTGTCGTAGTAATTTTTGCCCAGAGCTGTGGATTGGGCAGTCATTGACACAGACTGACACCAGGGCTGTAATTAGATAATTTCAACACCCCGTTATGTTACACATTGTATGTAAATTGCGCGCCCACAGGTACATTTTTTTCCATTTTTAACTGCCAGTCTTCCAGTCTGACAGTCTCGCCTGAGATTCTTTCCTAGGAACCATTTCCTGGTGCCGGCTACCATCGGGTGGATGTAATGGCAACAGGTGTGGTACATTTCTAGAGGTTACCACAGGCGAATTTATTATGCAGATGGGGCTATTTCCTTTCTTTGGATTTGTTTGTATCTTTCTTCAATTCTGAAATGCTCTCTGAACAACCTGTATGGTAGGGTATGTCCTTTCAACATTCGTTCTTCTCGTGACTGTGTTTCTCTTCAATGCAGGTAGCATAATATTAATTTATAGTAGGGTGTAATTAATGAATGCAGGGTTCACCTTTCGTGACTTCGGTAAACAGACGATATAATCTGCCTGGAGCAGAAAGCCTCCCCTCATTGGTTGAAAAGAGCCATGTTGCTGGGCAGTCTTCATTTTGTCAGTAGCGACGCAACTGCAACGCGTGCATTTCACAGTTGTTTGTGAACCAGCAAAGTGCAGGTCCAACCAGAGGAGCCGCTGTTGCTTGGAAAATTGCGCCCTCTCTTGGTCCAGCTTGGGGCTCGTTGGTCGGTTGTCATGGTCTTGATGATGCGTTACACATTAACACAGGAGTACAGGGTGTGCTCTTTCCATATCATATTCACATTTTTATCTACCTGTGAGTGGGAGCCCGTAGCTGGCATTGGTGCAAAAGTAGGATTTGTCTCTGTGTTAAAGAATCCTACGAACCTGTCAGTACATAAAAATTATAAATGTTACTGCTAATTTAGGCCAATGCACATTTGTGGGTAAAATCGGACATTAGCCTAGCTTAATATTTCTTCAAACTTTGGATGCACATGCCATGAGAGCATTGTAGACAGGCTTACAATGCGACTTAAAGTGTTAGCAGTTATCATGTTGAATGACAGTAACAGTCCGCAATCCTTCAGCAGGTGAAACTTATTTGTTTGAAAAAAGTGGAAATTGCAGTTTTGTGTTGATCACCGAGGGTGAATCCAGAAGAATATTGTTAGTGGGGATTGTTACAAGGGGGCCAAAAAAATCTAAATTTCTTTATGTAGCCTTTTGTGGTCTTTCGTGGGGATGAGAGACATTTTGTGACTCTTTACACACTCTTTGGAGGAAGGGATGTGAACGTCACTCAAAGTCACCTTTTTGTCATTCATTTTTCAAAACTGGTAGAATTTTCTCCTTTGTTGGGCCGTGTCCCCTTTCTTCGGATCTGTGTGTGTTAGCCTATGTGTTGTGGTCAACTCTGTACCACATTGCATGACTTCAGAAAAGAGGGAATTTCAGGGTATTCATGGTGAAAGACAGCAATAGTTGGAAAGGCTTACGGTAGCACCACGCGAAGGAATATGCATGTACTCTTATGAGTATGTGTGGTTCTGAAAAGAATCGGGAGTATACTCAATGTATCGGACTGCGTGCTCAGTCCTTCGTCAGGAGACCCGGACGACGGACTAAGCATGCAATATACATGTACTCCCGGTTCTTTTCCGAACCACGCATACTCATAAGAGATATATTCCTTCGCACGGTGCTACTGCAAGCCTTTCCACCTGTGACTTCAGAAAAGTTGTGGTTTTAATTGTAATTGAATTCTCTCACCTTTGTTTTGGTAGTCTTACAAGAAGGTGTGATGTTGCAAGATTAAGGTTTAATTTGGATTAGTTAAGTTTGCACAGTTTAGCTAAGTACCCTGTTAATGTCATTCCTCGTATTTTTTTACATTCTTAAACTTTAAATTTGCACCTGCCACACGTAACCTATAAAAATTGCTGACGTTTGATAAATGTTTTATCGATTTTTAAATATGTTTGTATTGTTATTTTGATTATTTTATGGCGAATTATATGACTTGCACATATATCTCTGTGAAATTATATTTGATTAAATGTTATTTATTAGGCTTGTTGTCATAAAAGAGTCAGGATAATCCAAAGTCTCCAAAGTTTGTACGTTTATTTACATTCTCAGCATATTACCATAACATTAAAAAGTCTTTTAAATTGCAATGTAGTACATTTATAGCGGTCGGCAGGGTTTAGAGCAGACAGATGGAGAGTATGATAAAATAACCCATGGCGAATTATTCCATATATTCTTTAACAAAAAACTTTGAAAATCTTTAATAATGCATAGAATTGTGACACTAATTCTGCTTTTAATCAAGACATATTGATATAAAATCTAAATTATATCTGCAATTTTCTTTCAAAATTGGGAGTAAGTTGTTGGAGATATTTTTAATAACTGTCTATTCAAGCGGTTTTTATGAAACTTAGTGCTCAGGTCATTTTCATATATTCTTTTGCAGTCTGTCTTTCTACCAGGTTCTTAAAAATGCCGTCCTGACAATGCCTTCATGAACCCGAACTCCCAAACACGGGCCTTGAAACTTCCCTAAACATCCCTTGAAACACTTGCATAATCGTTTGAAAACTTCTAAGATTTTAACCCCAAAAGAGCCAGTTTTTCGGACCTTCTCCATCGGGGCCGGGGGGGGGGACACCGAAGACTGCAGCTTTCCCCTAGTTTGTTTGAGACTTGACAGACATTGAAATCTATTACTGATACGAGTACAACTCTAAGGTTGCAATTCAATCAGACATTAGGTTTAATGAAGTTTACAGTTTTGCGCATGTCAAACTAATGTTCATTGAGATCATGCGAATGGAAACGACATCTGGGATAATGTTTCCGAAAAACGGGTATTTGAAAGGACAGTTTGTTCGACATTTATAAAAAGGTATCAAATGACCGCAAAACATCAGCAAAGAAAAGTTTCCGAGTGCTCGGCACAATAAAACTGCATTGCAACGATGTCCCAGAAAGTGTATGGCGGAGGCAGATACCGACCCACTTTGGCTCTAAAGTGGAATAGGTTTTGTGTAAAATTAATTAGGCATAACAGTGTTGCTGCTAGTTAGCGATAGCAACTCCAGGTGTAAACTGAAGGATTATTTGTACAGGTGAATCATAGATGGTCTTTGGTACGATACACGGCGCCTCCTGCTGTTTGTTATTTTCAGAATTGTGAGCTCGACTTGTATATAGAAAGAGGATCTTTGTGATGTTTTCGATCGGCAGCTGTCTTTTTTTCCCTTCAAACAAAAGAAACTTGGCTTTAGTGCATATCATGTATAGTATCATAAATGAATCAGAATTTATGAAAAGGAATAACGATCAAATATAACTTTTTACTGCATAAACGTAATTGCTTCACGAAACAAATACATTATGTTTAATAATTTATTAAGCTTATTTCAAAGATATTATAAATGGGAATGTTGCTTTAAGTTAAAAAGAAGTCAAGTATATTTAAAGGGTTTTCATTGTATTTGCTGAATCGGTGTTGGATTATGAATTTGATTTTCGAAATGAATAAATAAACACTTAGTTTTGATATTAAGCATTTCTTTTAACGGGTGTTCCTCGGGGATTTTTTCCATGATCATATCGTCGAAATGGTTGGGTTCGTAGTAAAACTGCAGAATTTAACGTTAATAGCCGCTTTGGTTTTATTGTTGCAAGAGGCGACCCTCGTTGAGGTCGCAGACTAGACTAGGAAATCAACAGTCATAGACAACATTGATGAACTTCAGCATCAAAAAGGGGGGGTAACTAACTCTAGCGTGAAGACTAGTAAATGTAGTTAGTTTTTGTGACGTATTTTTTTCTCAAGTTTTTTTTCTGATATAAAGAAGTGAACTTTAGATATTTCTCGTGAAACAACCTTGATAGATTTTTACATATACGCAGTTTATCAACGCCTGCTGAGTGCTTCGACGGGCGTTTTGCACCCATTAGTATCCACTTGCCTTGATGTTTTTGTGACCGTTCGTCCAGGTGTCCTGATAAGGATGAGCAAAACAGGTGGATTTATTGCAGTGAAGTTGAGGGAGTTGATGCATGTAGAGTGCGATGCCGTCGTCGGTTGACACTTGAGCCTCTTCTGGCGTTGCTTCGAGGCCTCGCGGTTTCGTTCCTCGTGGTTTCAGTACTGATCCGTGATACGTCCTCGGAGAAAGGCTAACAACCATTGCACAGGGTAATCACAGGACTTTTCACAGGTCTCGTATTTCCGTTTCGAGCACCCTCTTGCAGGTGTGAAGTACATGCACTCGATCCGACCACTACAACAGTCAGTGGACCAATAAAACGTGCAATGCTGGAATTCACTTTACACGCAATATGGAGCCTCTAATATAATTGGCTACACTGACTCCAACTTGAAATTTTCGGGACCAATCTTTCTCTTAAAAGACTGCGTTACATAGACTGGCGTGTAATTCTCTCGAGATAACAGTTCGTAGATGTGATCAGGAGTTTCCCTGCTGTAAGCCTCAAGAGTCGTAGCATGGAGAGGGTTGACCGTCGAACCGTAGGTGGGATTCTCTACGACNGTCTGAACGGGAAGACCTTGTTTGTCTTGCTCGGTGGGCGCCTTATCTTCTCTTCCTGTTTCAAGTCAGTCTCCAAGTTGTAGACGGCCTTTGTCTTGTCTCTGTTACGTATACAAACATACGTTTTATAATTCTTAAGCCCCGATTGTGTTTAGTAAACTCTGTTCTTTTATTTATATAATTGTTTGGATGTGGACGAAACGTTTGGTAACAATAATGTTGAATGTTCCCTTTTCTTTGTCATACTTTGTAATTGACAACACTAAAAAAATGTAATCTGTGTGGAATGTGGGGAGAACAATACATCAAAATTTTGTGAAACAGATGTCAGAAACTTGCGCTAGACATCATAAATGTACAAATGTTTGGAAGGTTCGACCATCATCAAGGATTTCGACTTATTTTATCTATGCTAAAAACGTAAGCGTCTCTTCCAGTTGTCCTTTTACACTTCTCTTTGTGTGTATTCAGTTAATACGAAACCACATTTCTAGTCACTTCTAGTTTTTTTGTTATTTTTGTATCGTACACCGTTGAATGGTTTGCAGTCATTACGTGTACGTGCATTTATCCCTCGTTGTACACCATTCAAATGAGAATACACTGATTGACGAATTTGAAGACATGCCTTATTGGCCAGTCAATGTAGGGTCTTGACAATACTAGACTGACTTACTGTAATCGTTTGGTAATGTAGACGACGAATGCAGTGCCGAGGCAAAGAGATGCGACGCCAATCACAACAACATACCAGTACTTCGACAGCCAATCCTGCCGTAGAAGATTAAAACCATAGAAATAACCTTTTACAAACTGATCGAGCGAAAGGGACCTAATTCGTGTTGACTCGATTTAAAATGTATTTTGTTACTCCTTTTAAATTTTTCTTGTAAGATTTTCTGTGACGGATTTTCATCTTAGGGGATTACTGGATGCGGTTTAGTGGCCCTGAACTAATTTTTAACCCGCGCCAGCAACCTCCGAATACTAATGTCTAATTTCCAAAATTAACGTGACACACATCTTTGTGAGACGGTGAAGACACGAAGTGGGAACTACGCTAACAATTGTGAAAATGTATGCCTTTTTTTCTTACAAATGCCAGGATTGATAATGTGTTGAAGTACCTCTGTGGTCGTCTCCCCGTCGTATATTTTGTAACCGATTTCTGCCTCTATCGATTCCTTCGGCTGGGTCGACAGAAGTTCGCCAATTCTCTCTGACGTCATGAAGCTAGTGTCTCGTGATGCCACAAAAGTCACTTCAGTCAGTTTTGCTCTGTGGAGGAGAAAGGCAGTGACAAGAAAGAAGGGGTGTGGTTTACTTTGACTCACTGTGTACAAAACTGTTAGAGGCCCTGCTTCAAATAATGTTCATACACGGTGAGGATCATGGGATGAGTGACGGTCTTCAAATGCAAAGAATGTATAAACTGTGATTGTCTGAAGTGACTGTGTTTATAAAAAGTATGAATTACCCAGATGGCGCTGCTATCAAATCTGCAAGCGTTGCCACGGTAACATTAACTTGAACTGTGTCACGTTTACGGATAGCTGGCCCAAGTTGCTGTAAGGCTTGGTCTAGTATGACTGCGATGCCAAGCTGAAATCGTGAGGTGCTGTCCAGGACTCCGACAACAACGATGCCATACCCGTAGATCTTCAGGTCTTTCAGAGTGAGAGAAACACGATAATCACGTTTCAATTAGATTGTGGTTTGGACCACAATTCTACACCGTGTTTTTTTTACCTTGTCGTTCAATCTCCAGATTTCAATTATAGTTATGTAATTGGTATTTGAAAGAATCTTTGGTGCCTCATGTCTAGTAACACAAAATTCCTTCTGCTAAGCTTTGTGTAAAAATTCTTTACTTCGTAGTTTTACAGACAGAAGTTTCCCGATCCGGAGAGGCGTCTCCTCTGAAAGATGGAACAAAATTCTCACCTATATCACAGTCTTTGCCGAAATACCCGGCATCACACGTGCACGTGTATCCTTTGTCGTCTACAGTTGATTCCTCACACTTGCCGTTATTACACGGCGATACAGAGCAAGGGTCTGGTATTTTGGATTCACACTCTTTGCCTGTATGCAGTTTGTCACATGTACAGCTGTGCAGAACAAAATAATGATAGACGTACTTGGGAAAAGTTATTAGAAACACTTTAACCTGCCTCATTTACATTGTAAAAGGCAGATTCTTTTGAGGTATAATAAGGTATCGTTGCATGTGAAGTTGCTTGAGGTAGCACCGTGTGGGAAATATTTCTTTTTTGTGAGTCGATGAGTTTCGGGGGAAAAACTTTAAAAAGAGTCCACTGGTTTTTGTCAGAGCCTCATTTTCCACGGAATATAAACCCGCACCATGTAAACCCTCATATTTCATCTGTGAGGTTTCAACCCTTACACGCAGTTAATGCATTTGAAAGTCAAGTTGGTTGAATAAGCTTACAGGAATTCTGCCTTTATTCAGTACTGGTACAATTTTGTGTCCATATTTCACAGATGACACTTTCTTTACAGTTTAACAGCAATGTGTCCATAAAGCCGTGATACATGGATAACGTGTGAAAGTTGCATGTGTTTAAGGGCATGTGCCCATTCTGCTAAATTGACAAGCGCGTGCACATGACTCACATTACCTACCTGTATCCGTTGAACTCTGGTGTGCACGTTCCAGTGTTACAAGGCGAACTCCTGCAGAAGTCGATCTCCTCCCTGCACGTCTCACCCTCGTACCCGTCCAGACACTGACATTTAAAACCAGTCAGGGTGTCCTGACACGTGGCCGAGTTCGCGCATGGTGTGGAGGCGCAGTTATCCAAATCGATCTCGCACTGAGGTCCACCAAAGCCCGGTAGACACATGCACTGGTACTCGTCCAGTAGGTCCACACAGGTGGAGTTGTTCAAACACGGAGAGCTGGTGCATTCGTCCTTATCCACATCGCACAATTTTCCCTCGAAGCCCGGGAGACAGACACAGGTAAATTTGCCTATCTCATCTTGGCACGTGGAACCATTAAGACAAGGGGAGCTTTTGCAGTCATCCATATTGATGTCACAAAGAGACCCAGAGAACCCTTCAACACATTCGCAGGCGAAAAAATTTGGTTCGTCTGTGCATGTTCCATTATTCAGGCAAGGGGTGCTTGCGCACTCA